AATGCCATTAAGTACGAGGGATATTTCCATCTTAAATCCCGGATCTGAACATATCTTTAAGAACTGAGTGTTTGATTATTTTACATCAGAAGGAGCTGCTACACATCGTTTCCAGAAGAGAGAAATGTTTGGTAGCATCACACTGTCTACAGAACATCAAACAGTGTCGCATCACACTGTCTACAGAACATCAGTGTCAATGTAGTTCTGATGTATGTTATTCCACTAATTTTACACCAGTGTTACGTGACTTGCTGATTTGCATATTTAAAATTGTTTTAACATAACGTTCTCAAACCTTGTATAAGAACTTAAACGTTGGTTTTGTCCCACTGTTACCTCGTCTTCACAGTTAACAATTTTGTTAACTAAGTTCAGTTGCCTTCATTATCAGTGTATGAACTTGTGAGTGAAACTAGAGAATAATGTAACGATATATCAAACACGTTATATCAATTAAATACAGTGCCAAATAACCAGAACTCTTCAGGCTGGCTGGGATACAAAAGATGCAGCAGTAACTGAGACGCTATCCATATCGGTGATATTCTAACTGTTGTGGATTAAACTGAAGTGTAATTTTTCATCAGTTTTATTAAGAAGCCTGATCAGGATTATTTTTACGTTACTTATTTACTTAGAAAATAGTAATTCACACTTAAAATAAAATGGTATTAGCTTTCAGAAATAGCAAGCAATAATATATTGATAGTTATACTTTCAACAGTTGTATAACTGATAACCAGTTGAGTGCTTAATGGGGATTGGAGCCCTTTTATGTGTTCTGTCTGTGAGGAATTTGAAAATGTTGAAAATCCGCTGTAAAATACTGGTTGGCTTCCCTGACCTACAGGAAATGGTTCATTTTTAAACAAACTATTACTGTTTATTTTACAGAATACCTTAACTCATAATAATAGCAAAATGAAGAAAATACTTACAACAACATGGACGCCTCCTGCTAACTTCAAAGAAGAAGTCATTTTTAGGTATGATGTTAAGACTAACTGTATTCACTTGGCTACTCATCCATCATTGTTGGATAGCTAATGTTTCTTACTCTGTATTTTTGTTGTCACTAAGAACCTTGTAAATCTTTCAATAAAGAACATCCTTCATTTTGAATATAGTTAGGTTGTTTAACTTGGAGCTTTGTTTAAACGAGTAAGCTACCTTTATCAGTATCATTTTGATATATGTTCATACTAAACCCTAGTTTCCGAAATTCAATATCCATTCCTGTCGTTGCACAATCATTAATTTTGGTTAATGTCTTTCTTTGCAGAAGTACAGTACTGAAAGATTATAAAACCTTCTGGTTGAATATTGACACCTTGTCTCCACCAATAGCGGTGACCAATACTATAGCTACTGAGGTAGGAAACTCTTGTAGCAGACTGTTTTAAAATAATGCATGTAAATGTATAATAAGCCAAACCATCAAGGTTTATAAAACAAAAAATATACAGTGGATCTGTTGTTTTAGAAATAATTGTGCATTTGAACTTTATAAATATTGTAACCAAACACTATTTTCTAGAATTATGGCTTGGTTGTTTTAACTGTGGGTGTGTTATTTTGTTACATATTGAAACTTGCACAAATCACGTTTTTCTTTTTTTATTTATTCTAATTTTTCAATGATTCTAGATAATGGCTGGACCTTCCCCTGACTTGTACGATGACTGTGTTGCAAAGAGAAAAAGTTGTTTTGGAATGCCTTCGCTTTGTTTTAAAGACAAGAGCTGTAGTGTAATCTTAACTTACATTTACAAAGACGGAGAGGTAGAGTTTGAGATGGCTGGTTCTCTGGGAACTTCTGATAAGTATATTGCTACCGGTATTTCACAAGATGACAAAATGGTAACTGTTGCCTAATTCTAACTAATGTATAAGAAATAAGGACTTACTGTTGTAATATACATTATTTCTGACCTTGCAAACATTACAACAGTAAGTCTTTATTTAATGTGTATTTTAAAGGGAAGAAAACAAGGTCAGAAATAATGTACATTACAACAGTAAGTCTTTATTTAATGTCCACGTTTTCTTCCCTTTAAAATACACATTAAATAAAGACTTACTGTTGTAATTTACATTAAATAAAGACTTACTGTTGTAATTTACATTAAATAAAGACTTACTGTTGTAATGTACATTAAATAAAGACTTACTGTTGTAATGTACATTAAATAAAGACTTACTGTTGTATTGTAGATTATTTCTGACCTTGCAAGTTTTTTTCCCTTTAAAATACATATTCATGTGTTTAGTTCTTAATGCTCAATGTATGAAACCTGGGGAACTAATTTTGGATCAAAATACTTACCTTGTGTTATTTTGTAATCACTATTTCAAAATATTTACTGAATAAAATAAATGTATATCTATATTGTACTATTCTTAATCAATAATTTAAAGGGGGAAATATCACCCACCTTCTAACTGGAATTAGAGCAACCTGAAAATGTTAAACAAAAAGCTTTATGGAAAAATGAGGTTTGGATGTTCTTAATTTTGTATTTTTGTCACTAGGGTGAAGATGTTGTAACTGAATGTGTATTATTAGGAGAGAGGGTAATTGTTCGACAGAGTTGGAACATCCCTAATGGGTACAACAATGAAGTTTTGGATGAGGTAAGAAACTCGGAACTCAAGTAATCAAATTACTTTTAACAAGCGGGAGAGCAAACCAATAAGTTTAACTCTGAAAAAAAAAACCTTTCTAAACCACAAATTTATTGGTTTTATTTGGTTTTACTAACAAGTTAAATTATGGTATTTATAAATTTGATAAATATTACACTAACATGGCCACTCATCTTGACAATTGTTCTGCAGCATTGAGACTGTAATGTCCAAACTATACTAATCATCCATCCATGCATGCTCTCCATAATCTATTTACTGTACGAGGTTGATGGTTCAATGTATACATCATTGTTACAACTTGTGTAACTGTGACTTATGTTGCACACTATTCCTTGGAGCACGTACAGGTCCATGTAGGGGTACATACAAATTTTCAGTTATCATTTTGTTTTTCAGTTTTTATAGGCTTTTTTACCATTACTAACATTGCCCAATTGATATTTTACAATCAGCTTAATGATATAGTTCGTATTATTCAAATAAATCCACTGTGGAAAACTTAATAACAAATTCTCAAAAAGGCAGCTCCCCCCCCCCCCACCCTATTACTTACATTAGTAATGTTAAAGGTGTTTTTTATCATACAATTACTATTATATATAGCTATGTTGTTAAAGTTCGTTGAATTGGAATAGCTTCAAAGTATGCCTACACAATAGAGTATTTCCAAAATTCATGCTTATAAGATTAATTCTATTTTATTTGAGTAACTAATCTTGACTTCTCCTCGTAGGACCTGGAAGGTATTCATGGCCAGACAGGAGACTACGTGGATGGCGTGATAACTTGTCACTGGAAGCGGAAAGGTGTTACTATTGTGCGAAACAGTGTTCACGACATAGTAAAAAATAAGTACCACCTTCTTCTTGCCAAGGGACCAGCAAGTACGGATGGAGGTAGGTAGACCAGTAGGTAGATACATGCATCAAGATGTAAAATACTTTCTAAGGCACTTTCTCGAGGAATAATGAACTCAAACATTATCACATAAGTGGACTATAAAGACATTTATCTATTGTGTATATATATATTTTGCATCTTTCTAACAGCTGTTCAAATATAACCCATTTTAATGTGAATATTTTTGATCTTTAGAGATAATCATGACGTTTTCTTTCCACAGTGAAGAGTAGGCACAGTGAAAGATCTGTCTCGGATAACCCAGTAAACCTGACACAGATAACAGTGGTAGCGGGTGGCCAGGTGCCTCTCCTCATTAAGCTACATGGTATGTAGTATTCAGCACTAAGTTAAGAAATAGTTTTACTACCTGAGCAAGATGGTAACAAAAACAACTGTGTATGTATAACACCAGTTAGCTATACAAAGCATCTAGACATTGTGATGAATTGTTAAATATATTAAAATATGTAAATTCTGAAATTTTTGTAGTTATAAAAGTTTAATAAAATCAACGTTTCTTTATAGGAACCTTTATGGTGGTCGCCTGGATTGGATTTGTTGGTCTTTCTATACTCATGGCTAGATATTACAAGCAAGTCTGGCAAGCCAACACACTGTGCATGGTAAAAATTTGGTTTGCTGTAAGTATACAATGTACTTGTCGTGTAGGTAGTACTTACCTCATTGTTTTGTCTTATGTCATTAATTAATTACATTTGACATTCTAGCAAGCTTTAAAACATTTCAGTTTGCATATAACCCAAGATATTGAATTGCTAATGTTTAAAGCAGTTACACAAGCCTTACAGCATTTCTTATGAATTAATCAGTATGATACACGTCACTTAAGATTCTTTCTCTGTCCAGTGTGGGATGTGTTTTGGGCAGGTTCTTTCTCTGTCCAGTGTGGGATGTGTTTTGGGCAGGTTCTTTCTCTGTGACTAGTTCCATGTTCTTTGATCCTACCAAATACTTTTTGAGATTTTAAGTCTTATTTTAAAACTTATTTAAATGCTATCATCCCAATGTCCACCAGGTTACTCTAATATTTAATTACCCCTCGAAGTGCTGAGTACTTGCATCATATTATTAACATCTGATGTTATAAAAGGACTGACCCACAAGTCTGTATTTCTGCCAGACTGATTTAACCAAAATTAATCCATGTGTTATATTGTATATTTCAATAACAAAACTTTGCCCTAAATAGCCATTTCTGTAACTTGCAGCATAAATGATATTACATAGTTTTTCATACCTCGTTTTTTTATTTATTTACAGATCCACCGGTTTCTAATGTTGCTGAGCTTGTCTTTGATGATTGTTGGATTTGTTCTTATTTTTGTTCATGTGGAAGGTTGGAGTCAGGTAAGACTTCCCATTTTGTACTAATAAAGTTTACATCCAATATCACTGGTACACGTAACTTCACATTGTATATAATTCAATGTAGTCAAGACAATTTTCAAATGGTCAGTTGTTTCTGATATACATAATCAAAATGTCTCGGAACTTTAGTTTTATGAATGCGCGTAGGTCTACACATTACTCATATTCATGAGACTTAATATTGATACTGTATCATGCATCAATCTTTTTATATACATTCTTCTTTTGTCCAAATTAGTACAGATATGAAATATTTCCCCGTATTTCGTTATGACCGTTTTTAAAAAATGGCTTTTTACAAATGTATATCACGTTTGCTGAACATTTATAATCCCCAAAGAGTGAAAAACAAAGTCAACTTGAGTTTCTTGATCACTTTTTCTGTAGAAACTGGTCAAACTCTGAAATAACTGAAGTTCACAATAATAGTATAATGTAGGAAAGTAGAAATGTATGGTACATTTATACACCATACTCTCGATATTAAGGTATTACATTTTTGGTTTGTTTCAACACACTTGTCGTTCCATGAAGTAGGCCCGGCATGACCAGATGGTTAGGGAGCTCGACTTGTAATCTGCGGGTCGCAGGTTCAAATCCCTGTCCCACCAAACATACTTGCCCCTTTTAGCCGTAGAGGCTTTATAATGTGACGATCAGTCCTACTATTCATTGGTAAAAGAGTAGCCCAAGTGTTGGCGGTGGGTAGTGATGACTAGCTGCCTTCCCTCTAGTCTTTCACTGCTAAATTAGGGACGGCTAGCGCAGATAGCTCTCGTGTAGCTTTGCGCAAAATTCAAACAAACAAATTTCTATGAAGTTTACAATTGATTAGATTTTTCTCTGTGTAGACTTCACCATCTGAAGTTGTATTGACTTGTTTTAATTTGAATACAATATTTGTATAATGAATACTATGGAGAGTAAGTTTCAAACATTCTAATAAACACTTCTTTCTTCAGGTTGCTACTAATCCCCATCCTATCCTAGGTTGTGTAACCACAGGGTTAGCACTGATTCAGGTGAGTTACGTGAATATCGATTTACTTCCAACCTGCAAATATGGTGTTCCACTACTTGTTTTGTAGATAGTAGCTATGAAACTATTAGTTTAAAAATATCAAAATCAAATAGTTGGGCCTAACAAAACAAATAATTAATGTTTAACTACAGATGTTGTTTTTCTCCACTTTCCTTTTAATTAGTCTTTTACAGATTAGATATTAAATACTGAGTGTGTAAAACAGATAATTTAAAATTGTTGTTTGTCTGTCATAAGTCACTGAACTAAAGTATACTTAATCTTGTATGACTTAGTTGTTTTTAATATCCTTCTCAATTATTTGCTACATGTCTTACATTCTAAAGTATTTAACAAATATAAAATGTTCCTGGTGAGGATCTAGCAACTTCTTAATTATTTGTAGCTTTAAGATTATAATTTATTCAGAGCCACATTGCACATCTACAAACTGAGGTACAGTTTACATTCTTTTTCAGCCAATAATGGCTTTGTTCCGTCCAAAGCCTGATGCCAGAAAAAGGCCCATTTTCAACTGGCTTCACTGGTTTGTTGGAAATTCTGCTAAAACTTTAGCAGGTTAGTTACATCTTTATTAACCAACATTATTAAAAAAAAGTAATATTTCAGAAATTAATTTTAAAAATGTGAATAAGGATGTGTGGTTAATCTTATAAATAAATATCCCTAATAATCTGTAACAAATAAGACCAATTATATATATAT